TCCGTCCACTTCCGTGATGTCGGGCTACGCTATCAGTGTCACGATAACGAGCGATGGTACGATGCACAAAATGTTTATTCACATTTAAATGCTGGAGTGCTCTAACGATAGCCACTTGTGGCTTTTGTACGCTTGTAAACAATATAATGAGCTGTCACTGGAATAATTTTAACAGCTGTCGTACGAGTGGTTTAGAAATGGCAGCAGTCTGAGAGTGGCTGCAGTTTTTTCATCTCACTCTGTATTTATTTACTCTTAGAGTGATATATTTGCTGATAGAAATATAAATTTCGGGTAATTTGAGATCAATCTTGATATTCCTGGCTTCTCCACATTATTAATTACGAAAGAGGTATCAGATGTTGCATATTGACGGATTTTTACTGCATATCCAATAGATTAACCTATCAATTGTTCTTTATTGCTTTGTCAAAAATATAATATAAATCCGACTTTTTATTTATTTTATGCCGAATCGGTAGACAGAATATTTTTATTACTTGAAAATTAGTAGAAGAAACTACCCAAAGTTCTAAAAGCTTCGCCAAAAAAATTTTGGTTTATTATTCTCTTAATATAAGTCAGAAGTTCTCACACATCCAATTTTATTTATGTTTAATCTCTGGAATGGATATATTTCATTCTAATTATTTGGTTGTACCTTTTTTTACTTCACAGTTTTTCTGTAGAACATTCTCCAGGGACTTTTTGGTATCAAAAATAACATTTTTATTATAATTTCATTTCACTTATTACCAATGCAAACACATGAGTATTAACTCATTTATATTTAACGCATTAAAAGCCCACATTTATTTAATTAATCATAAAAATGCCATAAATACGTTTGGGCCAATTAAAAAATTTAAAATTATTGTACATATGTACGTCGTTGGTCTGTACTGCTGGTAATTGCAATTAATGTTAATTACGCCACCCGCAATGTACTTACAGGCGATTAAGGAGACCATACTGTTAGCTCTGCTGTTTCTTCTCCTTCGTCTCTGTTACCAACAAATATTTTAATGAAATAATAAATATTTTTAGATTTGTAATTTCCATTTAACAATTTTGTGGTTTTCGGGATGGGTGGCATTATGTCGATATTAATTTCATGGAATATTTTAAGGATTCATTGTTTTTCTCGGGTGGACTTTTTAATGTAAAATTACATTTAAATTCAGATTACATGGCGTTTCCATGGCTTAATGCAGGGGTCTGTTGGTGGTATAAGTAATATTGATTTCATGACATTAATTATACCACCCCATGGTCATTTAAATTGCAAACAATTATACGCCACAATGGGCATATGATTTTTGCGTTACACACAAAGGGAAATTAAGATATTACATATTATTATGATTATTCAATTTAAAATAATTTGTAATATCATTTCTGATGTACATTTAAATTCCATAATTCCCAAATTTATATTTATATTTTCATACCATTACAAAATTAAGTGTAAATGCACAACGTTTTATTGGATCAAATATTTTGCCTTTGAAAATAATTATCTAATTTTCATATTTCATCAAAAACGCAAATCGTTGAGCATTTTTTGGCATATTTCTCTATGCAAATAGCTTACGTCAAATTATAATAACAAAAAAAATATATTAAAAAATTTACACATGCACACACACATATGCAACTCATTGCGAACCATGTGTGCTAAGCTCATTTGCATACCACTGACAAGGTGTGTACGCTCGAGTGTGTGTGTTCTGTGAGCGTTTTCAGCAGGGCATAGTTTTGCCTAAAAATTTCTGTATGCAAATATGCTAAGCTAAGAAGAAAATGTGGAACATTTGAGTAGATGCAAATGAAATGTTTTTTTTTTCTTTTTTACTTTTACATAAATATTTGAGTTTAGAAAAAATATGAAACTTTTACATTGCCTTTTGCTTTCGTAAAATTAGGTAAATCAGAGTCGCTTAATATTTGAAAGTGACAAATTTTCCTCAAAAAAATTGCCAAATATTTTCAGGGCAAGAACCTTTTAGTTTATTTGAATGCTAACGACCCAATAAACATAGGAGAATGTATTTGTTTATAGAACCAAATAGGAAATATTAAATCTCAGCAAAACCTTGAGAGCCACTTAAGCACAAAAACACATTACAAACATACCAACTCTTGCATTACCAGTAGTTTTAAAAATGAAAATGAAGTTAAATTCCTATAAAATTACAAAGCAAAATAACTTACTTTTATAGTTACCAAGTAATAAGTAACGTCGGAACAGAGTATACCATTCGTTAGATCATTTAATGTTAGATCATTTAAATATATTTTGACTTCTGTTATGATTATGCAAATTGTTGACCCTCTATGGTGTAGGTTCCGAGGGAATGGACCAATATTGTCCATTTCGTAGCGGACCTATATAAAGATGTTCTAAATATTTCCATGTGCCATGTTTGGACTATATTGGTTACTTCCTTCAATTTATATGAGATATGTGCTAATTTTAAGAAAATTTTAAAATGGACATGTATCGACTGAAGTACAGTGTGAGATAAAAAAAACTGCAACAAAGTCAAACGCCATAATTTTTACACTTTTTCTTAAATTTTATTGAATGAAAGCAAAAAATGTCGGAAATAGCATCAAATTTTAGAATAGCTTTAGAATTTGTTCGAATTGGTCACGTTTTTCACGAATTATGGCCTTCAAACGGCCAATGAAACCTTCACACGCTGTCCGAATGTTGATCTTCGGTATTTTGGCCCATTCCGGGCGAAGCGCTTCCTTGAGATGATCGACACTTTGGCATTTTTTATTACAAACCCTGCTTTCCAAAATACTCCAGACACAATAGTCTAACGCATTGGTATCCGGAGATTTTGGTGGCCATTGTGCGCTGGAAATGAAGCGAGGAACCTTATTTTGCAACCATTCTTGGGTGGTGTGTTCTGAGTTCAGTTGAAATGTCCAAGGTCTGCGGCCAAAATGTTTGCATGCCCAAGGCTTTAATACACCATCCAGCATACTTTCGCGATAATATTCGGCATTTATTCTGATGCCACGAATGTTTTCTCATGGAAGGAAACCAAAGGGAAGGGATTCGCAGATATATATCATCTTCACAACAAATCTTGTGTTAGCACAAATGTTTGTATGTGTGTCACTGGAAGAGAGTTGGGTGCTTAGTTCGCTTTCTTTGAGCGTTTTGTTTCTCAAAATCATGAATCCTGTGTGAAGCAGGTACCAGAAAATATGGTTCGATCTATCTCTATATTGAGATGTGCCAAGTCTGAATGGAATCGGATGTTAATTTCACGTTTTATGGGTTTCATGGTTACTCAAAATTTTGACTGTTTGTGCGGGAGATACCAGATGGAGTGGACCGATATATTCCACATACACTTCAGATCTAGTGTTAGTAGAAATATTATGAGGTGTCCAATTTTAAGACTATCGTACTCATAAATCATATTTTATGAGAGTTATAATTATTCAATTAGTTGGCCCTTTGTGGGGGAGGTACTTGATGGAGTGGACCGATATTATCCATTTTCTCACCTGACCTAAAACTGCCGCAAATATTAGGATTTGCAAAGATGGAGCATAATCGAATGATCCCTTCTATTTCGGTGCAGTAAAAAATATTTTTTTGAAAATTTCGATCTTTGCCCGTCTCGGAACGCGATCTAATTTTGATAATAATATTACGATGTACCAAGTTTGCGCCAAATCCCTACCAGCCAGGACATCGCTAGATCGACTGCAAATGTACTGAAGCGGATTTGGTCTAAAGAGAACTAAGGTCTAAAACCGTTATTTCGCACGTTTTGACCGTATCAAATGATATATATACCCTCTGTAGCCATATGGCAGAGGGTATAATAATAAAATAAAATGAGTTGCTGATGTAGATATGAGGCTTTTAACAACCATTTACATTCTCTGTCCTTTTTTGTCGAGTTTTAGTCGGCGAATTATTACCACTTATTTTTTTGCCCTTGAAAAGTAAGAGGTTTGTTGGTAGATTTTTAAGAAGTTGCATTTACAGCTCTTGACATCCCCAAAGATTTAATAATGGAATGTATGAAAAGATATATGTGTATGTACATTAAAGAAACTTATATGTTTCGGAAATGAGAGTCTGTGTTTCGCACTAGCTACTTTGCTACGCTCATTTAAAAATGCATCACCCGAAAATTGCGCGAAATAACACGTGGAAAAATATTTTGCTTTGCCACAGCATGATGTATTGGAAAACAAATCCAAGCTGGCAGCAAGGCAAACATCAAGACATCTTGATGTTATTTTGAGTAATTGTTAAATATGTTTTATTGTGTGCGCTTTTTTGTGCAATTTCTTTTGAATTTTTTTATAAATCTTAAGATTTTTGGATTATGGCCAAATGCCATGTTCCAATTACTTTTATGCCGGCCGCTGTTCGCCATTGCGCCTTACAAAACATTGGGTATTATTTTGGCTGAACAATTTGCGTTGAAAAAAAAAATATATTTTGTAATGAAAAAAAAAAATATATAATAATAGAGAAACAGCATCAAACAAATGAAGTGAAAATTGAAACTGAAATGTTAAAAGCAAAATAAATAAAACAACAACAAAAAAATATTTTTGCTGTTAAAATTTTAGTCACAACATAATGCATGATGGCATTTTGTATGATATGTATTCGACCGAAATGAAAATATTAAAACCCCTGCCTTGAATAGTTTTGCTTTTCGAGGGAAATTATAGCCAGACACATGCCACAACATATACACGTACATTCATATTTATATGTATTTACATAAAACAGAAAAACTCCAATAAATATTCGAAAACATGCCAACAAAAACAATCTATATTAAAATTCTCCTGTCATCAGCAACGATGATGATGGTGACGACGACGATGCTGCCGCTGACAGACAACACATAAACGTAAACATTTATTATTATGAAAAATAATTAAATCAATTCGCTGTGTACATGATCATCATCGTCGTTATCATTATGATTGCCATTCAATTATAGCATGAAAGAACGCAAGAAAGTGAAAGAAAAAACAAAAAACATGACCATAAAACAACAAACAATGTTTTAAATCCAAACCAAAAAATAATAACCCCCAAAGGACAAAATCAATCATTTGTGTAACTACGCCACTGTTTCCCATCAACCGGCAACATAACGGAGTCTAATCCTTGTCTCTGTTTGGGCGAGTGCGGGGCGCAATTGAAATCGTTCAGAATGTTTGGTTGTATTTATCAATTATGGGATTGGTAAGTATGAGGCATATTGTTGTTGTTGTTGTTGATTTTCATTTTGTTTTGTTGTGTTTTGCATTTTTTGTGGAAGATTCAACATAAATAAGCATCATCGTTGCCATGCAGGAAAATGCCTGCAATTACGTCCGATGATCAAGGATATTGTTTAAATATTTATTAATTGCTTAATACAACATTTTAGTTGGATATTTTGCTTATTTTTCGTTTTGAGATAAATTAAAAATCTATGTTTAATAAAAATCATTTTTTAGGAAGAAAAAAGTGAACGCATACAAATATGTCAGGCTTATGTACAGCAACTTTTTATACATTTATGTTAACCATTTTTAAAACACACTTTAAGGCGTACTTGCTATCCAAAATGAAAAGCTTTATAGTAAAACATATATAAATATATTTATAGTATAAATGTAATATAATTATAATATATGTATATTATATAGCATTGAACGCCTCTATTTTATAAAGTATAGCGTTTCGTTTTAGTAGAAATTTTACTGGACGCGCATAAAACTCTACTTCAAAAGTGTTCACACACCACATAGTGTTAAGGGTATTATGTCTATGTGCATTTGTTTGTAACATGGAGAAGGAAGCGAGGATCTTCATTGAATCACTTTCGGAGTCGATTTATGCATGTCGGTCTGTCCATCCGTCCGTCTGTCCATGTATTTTTGTGAACAAAACGCAGGTCGCATTTATTATTTGATTGAGATGAAATTTTGCAAACGCTAGTTGTTGGTCCAAGGACGAGCCCTATTGGAATTGGTGAGAATCGGTTAAAACATAGATATAGCTTCCATATATATCTTCAACCGATTTCGGGTTAATTGAGCACAAAATAGCCAATATCAGTCCAAATGACCTGAATTTTAGCAATTTTGACTGAATTCAATCTAGAAGCAAGTACTTCAAATTTGGTGAAAATCGGTTCAGATATAGCTATAGCTTCAACATATATATTTCTTCCGATTTTGGTGTTTTAAGTCCCTCACATGTGTAATATGCACTCCGCAACAATAATCTTTGTTACAAGATTTCAGGTACAGTTCAGAAATAAGTGTTTCAATAATTTTCAAGATCGGTTCAGATTTGGATATTGGTACAATATACATCTTTATCCGATTTCAAGATTTTTGTGTACCAAATGGCTAAATTAAATTTTATTGAATGAAATTTAAAAATGTCGGAAATAACATCACATTTTAGAATAAGTTTAGATTTGTTCGAATGTTTCACCTTTGGCACGAATTATGGCCTTCAAACGGCCAATGAAACCTTCACACGCTGCCCGAATGTTGCTCTTCGGTATTTTGGCCCATTCCCGGCGAAGCGCTTACTTGAGGCGATCGACACTTTGGTATTTTTTAGTGCCAACCTTGCTTTCCAAAATACTCCAGATACAATAGTCCAACGGATTGGTATCTGGAGATTTTGGTGGCCATTGTGGGCAGGAAATGAAACGAGGAACCTCATTTTGTAACCATTCTTGGGTGGCGCGTGCTGAGTGCGGTGGTTTGCGAGCCCAAGGCTTTTATACACCCTCTAGAATATTTTCGGTATTATATTCGGCATTTATTCTGATGCCACGGTCGATTAATATGAGAGGAGTGCGACTATCGGCTGTTATGGCGGCCCACACCATCACCATGGCCTGCGCTTGAGTTCTGGTGGCCAACCGAAGGTGGACATTTTCAGCTGACCTCTTTGGCAAGTAAACACGATCATTTTATTTATTTACAAACTGCTGGACCACTTTTGGCCAAGCGAAGCAACTCTTAGCTCTTTTGAGTCTATTTTCTTTCTGTTGCGGTGTAATTTCTTGCACTTTTTGGAATTTCAATGGCTTTACTCCGAGCTTATTTTTCAATATTTGCCGAATGGAATATTGCGATATGTTCAGCTCATTAGCCATTTTTCGGCCACTGCTGCGACACGGGATTCGATTAAAACGCTTGTTTATTTTTCTAACCTATTCCGCTGATGTTGCTGATTTCTTCCAAAATATTTATTCACATTTAAAATATTTATTCAAAATTTAAATACTGGAGTGCTCTAACGATAGCCACTTGTGGTTTTCCAGCCAAATATAAAGAAATCAAACTATCACGCTTGAATTCCATCACGAAAATGTGTTTTCTGGAAAATTCTCACCAAAATGCTTGTACGCTTATAAACAATATAATATCTGGAATGATTTAAACAGCTGTCGAACGAGTGTCTTAGAAATGACAGCTGACAATATAAACCCAAATATCAAATATTTACATTTTTTATTTAATAAAGTAGCTTCCTCCCCCACTAACTGTGAACGTTTTGATTCTTTTCACTTGACCTTTCATCTACATTAGATCTAGTGTGAATATGTGACAGATCGGTCCACTCCTCATATAGAATCAATATTTTTTGTAACCATAATTCTCATAAAAATTGAAACAAGTCAGCGATTTTCTTGAAACTTTAAACCATAGACCTGATTGAATATAGAACTTATCGGTCCACTCCTTTTGTTACCTCAACCACAATTGGTCGCAATTATTTCTCAATCTTTATATATCACAATATTTCTACCAGCTATAGATCTGCTGTAGATATGGGATATACTCATCCCTCCCTCCGTTTTAATACACTCACTAATAACTATTAGCCATTTGAAAGTTTAATCCTTTTCCCAGCCAGCCATCCAGCTAGATAATGCGAAACCAATCAACTTCATGCCACACGGAGTTCCTTCCATTGTATTGGCTTATGCTGAATAAGCAACTTTTATTGCTGCCGTTTTGTGGTGCATGTGAATGGCTCGATTGCTTAAACTTAACTAAAGTGTAAACGGCAACTGTGCATCAGATCGTATTTGTATCTGTGAGTGTGTGTGTTCATTGCTGGTACAATGTCGCCGGTGATTTGTTCCCTGCTGTAGGTCTTTGTTAGAGTTTAATCAATTAAAAGCAATTAAGTGGGCACAAATGGTCGGTCACCGTCATCGGCATCGCTGTCGTTGTCGTTGTTGTCGCCGTTGTTCTATAAATGGCCGCCACACTCAGGTACTGCAGTAAAGCCACGACAACAGAACAGTTAACGTATTGTTGTAGGTCATTCATTTGATGCAATTACAGTAGTCATTAAGGTCTGTGTATGCACCCTTTATGGCTAGGTGGCTGGATGGGTGTTGGTTTTTTTCTCTGCATAGAGAATGGGGAATTGCTTGACAAATTGGCTGTTTACATTGAGTTTTTGTGAAAAATGAGGCAGGGGTTATAGGGAGCAGTAAAGAGAACTACAATTTTCCTACATGTTTTAGCTACTATGATAATCATTTGTCTAGCTTTATGTGTTTGTTTTCTTTTCAATATTTTTTATATAATTAACTGTGTCGGAGAATGATTTCCATTATTTAAGCACAAACAACTAGCAATGACCTAGATTCTCCGTAAAACTAAATTTTTGTTTACTAATTATTTGCGTTTTTCTCTCTTCTTCTCATTTACAGGTTAGAAGCGCCCCCGCTGTTTTCAGCGGCCACCATGGACGCCAAGAAATTGCAACAGCTACAACAATCACAAAATGTTCAAAAGAAAATACCATTGGCCTATCAAACTAACATAGCCGACTATCGGACCGCCACCCATTCACCAGTCTTCCAGCAGCAACAACAACAGCATCATCATCAACAGCAACATGGCAACTATCACATGTCCAGTGCTCATATGAACAGTGGTAGTGCCGGTCATTATCAGCAAAGTCCCACAACAACTTCATCGAGTGGTGGCGGACCGCTCTCACCCATTGACATCCAGCCACAGGCCAGCAAATTGCTGCTGAAGCATCAATTGCAAAATTCTGGCAGCGGTGGCAGTTCCATTCAAAGTTCACCATATCATCAGGCCTCGATATCATCGGGCTATCCCACCAGCAGTGGTGGCGGCACGGATCAGCTGTATCAATCTCCACCGGAGCGTACATATATGCAAGCTGCCGGCCGATTGGGATCAAGCAATGCAACGTCGATGGCCTTGCAGCAGCAATATCAGCAAATGCAACAGGCTAAGTTACAGGCCCAGATAGCTTCCCAAAATGAGGCCATACAACAACAGCAACAGAGAAATTTTGCCATGCGTCAAGCCATGAATTCAGCTGTGCCACAGGGTCACTATCACATGTCACAACAACAGCAGCAGCAGCAACAACAGTCAACGGCATCACAACAACAGCATCGGGCACCACCATCTTCATTGAATTTAACCAATCAATTTCAGCCAGCCTCAGGACCCCTGAAGGTCAATCAGCAAAATTCACAAAAATCCTCCCAGCAATATCAGCAACAACAACAGCAGCAGCAACAGCAACAACAACAACAGCAGCAGCAGCAGCAGGAACAAATCTATGGTCATCACCAACACTCCCAACACTCAGCCCAGCCAGTGTTCCAACAAATGCATCATCATGCCTTGCAACATCGTTCCAAATCCGACTTACAAACACCCGGCAGCAATGACCAGAGTCCAATCTACATCCAACAAAATCATCCTGGCCATGTGGTCAATCAGGCAGTGCAAACACAAATATCCACAGTGGCCAAGGCCACAACCATAACAAAAACACCCAGCTCAGAAGATTCCTCATCGGCCTCGGCCAAAAGTCCCACACATGCTCCATTGGATCGCAAAAAATCAGCTGGCAGCTCTAACTCTCAAGCGCAGGCTTTGAAATCGCCCATAACCAAGAGGCCACCCAACTCGCCGGTTACCATTTCTGGTTGGCTGTACAAACAGGGATCGGATGGCCTTAAGGTCTGGCGCAAACGTTGGTTTGTATTGGCCGAATACTGTCTCTACTACTACAAAAGTCCCGACGAGGAAAAAGTCTTGGGTTCGATTCTCTTGCCCTCCTACAAGGTGTCGGCCTGCTTGCCAGAGGATAAGATCTATCGGAAATTTGCTTTCAAATGTGAGCATCAAAACATGCGCACCTATTGGTTGGCAGCCGAAAATGCCGAGTCCATGGTTCAATGGGTTAGGGCTTTAAGTGCCGCCACCATGATGCAAGCCCATGGCAGTGCCGGGGATTCATCGGAACATCCCAGTGGTTCATCGTCGGTCAATCACAGTGGTGAAAATTCCGATTCTGGTATTAATACCCTACAAAGTAAAATGTCTGGCCAGGGCCAGGTAACACCAGCTTCAGATAATGGCGGTGGTGTTACGGCATCCAGCAGCAATAGCGGAGGAGGAGCTCAGCCTTTGTATGCCAATGCTCCACCCAAACCAAGGCGCATTACAGACGGTGGTTATTCCTCACCATCTCCCGAACATTCAGTCGATAATGAACGTACCCGATCGAGTCAACCACAAACGACTAGTCGCCGAAGCGGTATCATGTCACCCACATTGCAACAAATGCAACAACATCAATATCAACAGCAGCAGCAACAACAACAACAACAACGATCACAACACCATGCCATTTATGACACCCGAACGGGTAATGTTTCATCAGCCATACGTATACCCCAGGGCCAGGCGAACTACAATTTGGATAATCTGGAATCCCAATATCAACAACAACTAACACTGAGTCCCGAAGAGTATCCCTCCTCGCCCCTCGGCAGTCCTTCCCAGTATATGGATGCTCAAATGGAGCAGCAAATTATGCAGCTGCAACAACAACGTATGGCCGTCGATGATATCTATGGCGAACGTGAATTGTATATGCAACGTTTAATTCAGCAACGTTATCCTCCAAACATGGCCGGTTACGGAGCTGCGGAGCGTAGAACTCCCGATGCTTATGGCCGTTCGAAGAATCGTCTATTCTCCGACTATGAAGATATTTATAATTTGACAGCGGCTGAGACAGCAGCCCAGGCAGCTCTACTACAGGAGGCGGCGAGTTATCGCCGACCATTGTCACCGCCCAGCTATGAAGATAATAAATATTTGCCAACAGTTCCATCTCGCTACACACCCAATCATTTGGAGGTAAGTCGATGAGATTGTGAAAAATTGTTAATGAAAAGAATTTAAAAAGTTGTTTAGGAGAAACTTTTCTCTTCTTTAAATCTCCTTATGTTTTTATATATAAGCCGTGATAGCCTCACTCAGTATGTTTTACCTTCGAAGTCAGGGAGCAGGAGGTCCTTCCAAATTGTTTCATTTTCTCGGAGAGAGTGTAGTGCAAAGGGCCACCTAATACATTGACTAAGACAATCGATACAAAGTTCAGTTTGAATGTCTGGTACTCGAATGGTGAATAGACTGGACAATTCGAAAGAAAACGAAAAATTTTTCATTGAAAAAAATTTACTCGAATGTAACTGGTAAAAAAAGAGAAATTATCGAATTTTTGGTACGAGTTTTACGTTCCTTCAACACTATTTTCTTTTAAGGAATCACAAAACAAAATTCGTAAAAACTGAAAAGTGTATTGTCATACTGTTTTCAAAAGTAGTCTTCTTTTCCGGCCATATATATATGGCTTGGTACCACGGTACCACAGTGAAACCAGCAGCACCCTTTGTTTGCTGTTATAGATTGAATAGATTTTGCAGCTTTGTATTTTTCTTCATTTGTAAAATATGAGTAAAGTGCATTTATTTCGCAGTGTCTTAATACCGAAATGCATAACTATTTTTCTACAATTTATACAAAACTTAGTACTATTGAATAGGATTCTTACACTTGGTACACATTTCCAAAAACACCAACTTTTATCAACCCTATTTCCACGAATTGATTTTTATACCAAATTTCAAGTTTTTACCACTATCGCTTAACATAATTTCAAACAGTACCAAATATAGGGCATTTTAGTACTTATGATACATGTATTTTTCGAAAAACCCATCTTGGAAAGGAGGGTATATTTACTTTGTCATTCCGTTTGTAACATCCCTAAATATTCATCGTAGACCCCAAAAAATATATATATTCATAATCAGCATAAAATTCTAATTCGATTTAACTATGTATGTCTGTATGTCTGTCTGTTGAAATCACGATACAACCCATATTATTAGACGGATACCTTCACAATTTGGCACAAGAATTTGTATTGTGCCTAGGATGGTTGGTTCATAATAGGTTCTAGCCCGGTGGCAAAACATTAAATATTTAGTTCTACGTTTTTCTAAAGCGCACATATTGCTATACCCACCGATGTTCCGAATTTTGATAATCCTAGTCACATTTACCCACATAGTTGTTTCAAATTTGGTATTTTAGAAGATTTGATAGATGACAATCCTTAAAGCATACAATTACCTATAGGGGCCTGTTATGGTATGGCCCCATATAACGGCCTCACTCACTTTATGGGTTTTTGCTAAATTTAACTGCATTATGCAAACGGTCTTACTGGTATATGAAGTTTAAAGTGAAACACGTAAAACTGTGAATTCAGATACTTTTATACAAGAATGTTTTTTTTACCCTAGGATGGAGGGCATTGGAAGTTCGGCCCGCCCGAACCTAATGTTTTTTTACTTGTTTTATTTACAAATTTTAAGATACCAGCTCTGTTGGTTCGCCCAAATTCATATTGTTCCAAATTTAGTACCATATAGTATAGATAAGTATGAATTTCCAAAACAACCCACAAGCCTCAATTCTACAATGCAACAGTAATCTTGATTCCAAATTCCAGATTTCCATCTCTATCATTTCACCCAAATCCAAATTATACCAATTTTAGTACCATTTGGTACATATAAGTACATATTTCTTAAACTACCTCCATCTTCCTACACTCCGACAGTAATCTTATTTCGAGATTTCAGGATACTAGCTCTATTGGTTCGTCCATGTCCATATTGCAGCAAATTTAGTACATATATGTACAAATTTCCAAAACTTCCTACATAACCCAAACCTAAACTATTAATTTCAAATTTCAGGATACCTCCGCTAAATTTAGTACATTTTAGAAGATATAAGTACAATTTTCAATAACTACCATTCAATCCAGTTGAAATCTTAATTCCAAATTACAGGATTCTAAGTCTAACCGTTCTCCCAAAAATTAAATTTTACCAAATTCAGTACCATTTAGTACAGATTAGTACGAATTTCCAAAAAATACCTGCATACCTCATACCTCCTACAATGCAACAGTAATCTTGGGTCCAAATTTAAGAATTCCAGCTCTATCAGTTCATCCAAATCAAAATGATACCAAATTTAGTACCATTTAGTACCTTTTTCCTCTATATCCCAATCCTACACTCCGCCAGCAATGTCAATTTCAAATTTCAGAATTCCTCCAAATTCAAATTGTAACAAATTTAGTACCGTTTAGTACTTTTGGTATACATGATTACATAATTTCAAAACTACCTTATCTTACATCGACCCTACTCCTTGATTCTCTAACCGTTCACATGATACGAAATGGTACGAAATGTAGTACATTTTAGTACTTTTTGTGCTCTTATAATGTGAATTTTAAAACCCCTTTGGTACATCCGTCGTCAGTGACCCCCATTCCAAATTGAAAAGTTCTAGTTCACCCCAAATTACAAGATTCTAGCTTCAGCAGTTTCGTCTGGGTGTTGATGAATCGTTACGACAGTCAGACGGTCAGTCAGTCAGTCAATTACCTTATTCTTTTATTAATATAGATTCGCAAATATTACCGACTTTTCAAAAATATTTATAAAAAATAAAAATCGTGTTATAAAATATTATCAGATTATTTGTAAGGATCCTTAAGAAAATATGTATATTAGGAAACCTGCACGTATCCTTCAAAAATTCAAATCATAAGACTTCGATGCTCTACAACTTGGTCTTTTTTATCGACAATTGTCACTCCGAAGATCTAAAAACATTCCTTAGAAAATAATCAACTTATTCCTCAATCTTGCTTAGAGAATTTTTTTAACAAATGTGGATACAAAACTCTTTTTGATAAAAAAATGTGTCCATAAATTAGAAAAGAGAACATCACAAAATGCACAAATTACTGCCTTTTGTGATCAGAGACTGAAGTAATGATATAATTATATCCATTATGTATCCTCAAAAAAAGTCTAAGCATTATAACTTTGTATCTGCCTAACAACACTTCCATGCAACACTGAGGCCATGAAAATTAAAAAAAAATGGTTAGCATTATTTTCACATTTTTATTCGAAACAAATAATATACAAAATGTTCCCCTGATGTCCGCCATTCCAACCCAAAAAACTTTTCCATATTTCATGCTGTGCCAAACATTTGTATCCCACCAAATATGACATTGTTTTACAAACTGTTAAAACAAAATCATACTCAACATGTTTTGGAAATAGAATTAAAGCTAATAAGAACCTGGTGGGCACGAACAAGCCAACCAACCAGCCAGCCAGCCAAGATTCGCGCCAACTATTGTATGTCTGTCACTTAATGGTGTTCTGTTCGGTGTTAACCTCATCCGACCTCATACCGCCTCATACTAACCAGCAACCACTTCCATATGCTAAAATTGTTTGGTTGCACGCATCCACGTGTGTGTGTGTGTGAGTGAGTGAGTGGATGAATGCTAGTGCTTCATGTTGGCCTATTTCCTTCGGGCATATACAACATATATCAGGTGATAGTGTAAGTGTGAGTGAGAAAGTGGGTGTTTGCGTGTGTGTGTCTCAGTTGGGAGGGGTAGTTGGGGGCTTTGTATCCTTTGCGGGTTTTTGTTATGCAATATCAAGCATTTTGTCCTGGTTCCTTTTTAAGGTAGGTAGCAACATTTCTAAGGTGTCATCCATTGTAGCATAAAAAAATTGTAGAAAAGAGGGAGCAAAGAAGATTGTTTGGTGGTTTATCACAGTAAACCCCGAGGGTTTTATTTTGTCGGAATTGTTGGAATGTATTTTATTTCACTTTTTTCTATGGATTTTTTAAGGTGGTTTGGCTTTAGAAAGTGCATTGAGGATTAGATTCGAATTTTTCGCTTTCGCTGTATATGTTACCAAATCCCTTGTTGAGGGATCAAGATGTTAAATTTCACTTTGAATTAATTTTAAATAAAAGTAAGTCAAGAATAATATGAAAATATGTTGTATAAAACATCCTACAGTGAACAATTCAATTCAAATTTTGTCTTTGAAGTGATGAAAGTTATGTGTGTATGTTAGTAAAGAAATGTGTTGCATATTTTTAGGTGTTAATAAACTAAAATTTGCTCCTTTTTGATTACAGTTACAATTTTTAAACGGAAAAGCACAAGTCGTAATAAAGAGTTGATAAATGTTCTGTTCCAGATTTTAATTTTGCAATTTGTTCGATATCATAAAGGGTTATTGTAGTAAAATGTTTTACATTCCTGCAGTTCTGGAACAGAGCAAAAGGTAGAAAAAAAGTTAAGTGCCGTTTTGAAATTTTAACTTCATGGATTTTTTACTTTATTCTACTTTCAATCAAAATCTTTTATATTTAAGATTTCTTAGCATACTTTTAAGAGCTCCAAAATGTTGTAATGGTAAAAGAAACACAATAAATGAACTATATACATACAATATTATTTAGTATTTATACTATAATTATGTTATGCTTACACTACAGGGTGAGATTAAAAAACTGCAACCTACAGCTGTTAAAATTATCCCTATGACAGCTCATTATATGGTTTACAAGCATACAAAAGCATTTTGGTGACAATTTTCCAGAATAAAGTTATTCGTGATGGAATTCAAGCGAGATAGTGTGATTTCTTTATATTTGGCTGGAAAACCACAAGTGGCTATCGTTAGAGCATTCCACCATTTAAATGTGAATAAATCTTTTGTGTCTCGTACCATCGCTCGTTGTCGTGATACTGGTAGCGTAGCCCGTCTTCAAGGAAGTGGTCGAAAGAAAACTGCAACATCAGCAGAAATGGTTCGAAAAGTAAAGAAGCGACTTGATCGAAACCTGCGTCGCAGTGGCCGAAAAATGGCTCGTGAGCTGAACATATCGCAGTATTCCATTCGGCAAATATTCAAAAATGAGCTCGGGGTAAAGCCATTTAA